CCATCACAAACCGCTGTTGTTTCCATCACAAACCGCTGTTGTTTCCATCACAAACCGCTGTTGTTTCCATCACAAACCGCTGTTGTTTCCATCACAAACCGCTGTTGTTTCCATCACAAACCGCTGTTGTTTCCATCACAAACCGCTGTTGTTTCCATCACAAACCGCTGTTGTTTCCATCACAAACCGCTGTTGTTTCCATCACAAACCGCTGTTGTTTCCATCACAAACCGCTGTTGTTTCCATCACAAACCGCTGTTGTTTCCATCACAAACCGCTGTTGTTTCCATCACAAACCGCTGTTGTTTCCATCACAAACCGCTGTTGTTTCCATCACAAACCGCTGTTGTTTCCATCACAAACCGCTGTTGTTTCCATCACAAACCGCTGTTGTTTCCATCACAAACCGCTGTTGTTTCCATCACAAACCGCTGTTGTTTCCATCACAAACCGCTGTTGTTTCCATCACAAACCGCTGTTGTTTCCATCACAAACCGCTGTTGTTTCCATCACAAACCGCTGTTGTTTCCATCACAAACCGCTGTTGTTTCCATCACAAACCGCTGTTGTTTCCATCACAAACCGCTGTTGTTTCCATCACAAACCGCTGTTGTTTCCATCACAAACCGCTGTTGTTTCCATCACAAACCGCTGTTGTTTCCATCACAAACCGCTGTTGTTTCCATCACAAACCGCTGTTGTTTCCATCACAAACCGCTGTTGTTTCCATCACAAACCGCTGTTGTTTCCATCACAAACCGCTGTTGTTTCCATCACAAACCGCTGTTGTTTCCATCACAAACCGCTGTTGTTTCCATCACAAACCGCTGTTGTTTCCATCACAAACCGCTGTTGTTTCCATCACAAACCGCTGTTGTTTCCATCACAAACCGCTGTTGTTTCCATCACAAACCGCTGTTGTTTCCATCACAAACCGCTGTTGTTTCCATCACAAACCGCTGTTGTTTCCATCACAAACCGCTGTTGTTTCCATCACAAACCGCTGTTGTTTCCATCACAAACCGCTGTTGTTTCCATCACAAACCGCTGTTGTTTCCATCACAAACCGCTGTTGTTTCCATCACAAACCGCTGTTGTTTCCATCACAAACCGCTGTTGTTTCCATCACAAACCGCTGTTGTTTCCATCACAAACCGCTGTTGTTTCCATCACAAACCGCTGTTGTTTCCATCACAAACCGCTGTTGTTTCCATCACAAACCGCTGTTGTTTCCATCACAAACCGCTGTTGTTTCCATCACAAACCGCTGTTGTTTCCATCACAAACCGCTGTTGTTTCCATCACAAACCGCTGTTGTTTCCATCACAAACCGCTGTTGTTTCCATCACAAACCGCTGTTGTTTCCATCACAAACCGCTGTTGTTTCCATCACAAACCGCTGTTGTTTCCATCACAAACCGCTGTTGTTTCCATCACAAACCGCTGTTGTTTCCATCACAAACCGCTGTTGTTTCCATCACAAACCGCTGTTGTTTCCATCACAAACCGCTGTTGTTTCCATCACAAACCGCTGTTGTTTCCATCACAAACCGCTGTTGTTTCCATCACAAACCGCTGTTGTTTCCATCACAAACCGCTGTTGTTTCCATCACAAACCGCTGTTGTTTCCATCACAAACCGCTGTTGTTTCCATCACAAACCGCTGTTGTTTCCATCACAAACCGCTGTTGTTTCCATCACAAACCGCTGTTGTTTCCATCACAAACCGCTGTTGTTTCCATCACAAACCGCTGTTGTTTCCATCACAAACCGCTGTTGTTTCCATCACAAACCGCTGTTGTTTCCATCACAAACCGCTGTTGTTTCCATCACAAACCGCTGTTGTTTCCATCACAAACCGCTGTTGTTTCCATCACAAACCGCTGTTGTTTCCATCACAAACCGCTGTTGTTTCCATCACAAACCGCTGTTGTTTCCATCACAAACCGCTGTTGTTTCCATCACAAACCGCTGTTGTTTCCATCACAAACCGCTGTTGTTTCCATCACAAACCGCTGTTGTTTCCATCACAAACCGCTGTTGTTTCCATCACAAACCGCTGTTGTTTCCATCACAAACCGCTGTTGTTTCCATCACAAACCGCTGTTGTTTCCATCACAAACCGCTGTTGTTTCCATCACAAACCGCTGTTGTTTCCATCACAAACCGCTGTTGTTTCCATCACAAACCGCTGTTGTTTCCATCACAAACCGCTGTTGTTTCCATCACAAACCGCTGTTGTTTCCATCACAAACCGCTGTTGTTTCCATCACAAACCGCTGTTGTTTCCATCACAAACCGCTGTTGTTTCCATCACAAACCGCTGTTGTTTCCATCACAAACCGCTGTTGTTTCCATCACAAACCGCTGTTGTTTCCATCACAAACCGCTGTTGTTTCCATCACAAACCGCTGTTGTTTCCATCACAAACCGCTGTTGTTTCCATCACAAACCGCTGTTGTTTCCATCACAAACCGCTGTTGTTTCCATCACAAACCGCTGTTGTTTCCATCACAAACCGCTGTTGTTTCCATCACAAACCGCTGTTGTTTCCATCACAAACCGCTGTTGTTTCCATCACAAACCGCTGTTGTTTCCATCACAAACCGCTGTTGTTTCCATCACAAACCGCTGTTGTTTCCATCACAAACCGCTGTTGTTTCCATCACAAACCGCTGTTGTTTCCATCACAAACCGCTGTTGTTTCCATCACAAACCGCTGTTGTTTCCATCACAAACCGCTGTTGTTTCCATCACAAACCGCTGTTGTTTCCATCACAAACCGCTGTTGTTTCCATCACAAACCGCTGTTGTTTCCATCACAAACCGCTGTTGTTTCCATCACAAACCGCTGTTGTTTCCATCACAAACCGCTGTTGTTTCCATCACAAACCGCTGTTGTTTCCATCACAAACCGCTGTTGTTTCCATCACAAACCGCTGTTGTTTCCATCACAAACCGCTGTTGTTTCCATCACAAACCGCTGTTGTTTCCATCACAAACCGCTGTTGTTTCCATCACAAACCGCTGTTGTTTCCATCACAAACCGCTGTTGTTTCCATCACAAACCGCTGTTGTTTCCATCACAAACCGCTGTTGTTTCCATCACAAACCGCTGTTGTTTCCATCACAAACCGCTGTTGTTTCCATCACAAACCGCTGTTGTTTCCATCACAAACCGCTGTTGTTTCCATCACAAACCGCTGTTGTTTCCATCACAAACCGCTGTTGTTTCCATCACAAACCGCTGTTGTTTCCATCACAAACCGCTGTTGTTTCCATCACAAACCGCTGTTGTTTCCATCACAAACCGCTGTTGTTTCCATCACAAACCGCTGTTGTTTCCATCACAAACCGCTGTTGTTTCCATCACAAACCGCTGTTGTTTCCATCACAAACCGCTGTTGTTTCCATCACAAACCGCTGTTGTTTCCATCACAAACCGCTGTTGTTTCCATCACAAACCGCTGTTGTTTCCATCACAAACCGCTGTTGTTTCCATCACAAACCGCTGTTGTTTCCATCACAAACCGCTGTTGTTTCCATCACAAACCGCTGTTGTTTCCATCACAAACCGCTGTTGTTTCCATCACAAACCGCTGTTGTTTCCATCACAAACCGCTGTTGTTTCCATCACAAACCGCTGTTGTTTCCATCACAAACCGCTGTTGTTTCCATCACAAACCGCTGTTGTTTCCATCACAAACCGCTGTTGTTTCCATCACAAACCGCTGTTGTTTCCATCACAAACCGCTGTTGTTTCCATCACAAACCGCTGTTGTTTCCATCACAAACCGCTGTTGTTTCCATCACAAACCGCTGTTGTTTCCATCACAAACCGCTGTTGTTTCCATCACAAACCGCTGTTGTTTCCATCACAAACCGCTGTTGTTTCCATCACAAACCGCTGTTGTTTCCATCACAAACCGCTGTTGTTTCCATCACAAACCGCTGTTGTTTCCATCACAAACCGCTGTTGTTTCCATCACAAACCGCTGTTGTTTCCATCACAAACCGCTGTTGTTTCCATCACAAACCGCTGTTGTTTCCATCACAAACCGCTGTTGTTTCCATCACAAACCGCTGTTGTTTCCATCACAAACCGCTGTTGTTTCCATCACAAACCGCTGTTGTTTCCATCACAAACCGCTGTTGTTTCCATCACAAACCGCTGTTGTTTCCATCACAAACCGCTGTTGTTTCCATCACAAACCGCTGTTGTTTCCATCACAAACCGCTGTTGTTTCCATCACAAACCGCTGTTGTTTCCATCACAAACCGCTGTTGTTTCCATCACAAACCGCTGTTGTTTCCATCACAAACCGCTGTTGTTTCCATCACAAACCGCTGTTGTTTCCATCACAAACCGCTGTTGTTTCCATCACAAACCGCTGTTGTTTCCATCACAAACCGCTGTTGTTTCCATCACAAACCGCTGTTGTTTCCATCACAAACCGCTGTTGTTTCCATCACAAACCGCTGTTGTTTCCATCACAAACCGCTGTTGTTTCCATCACAAACCGCTGTTGTTTCCATCACAAACCGCTGTTGTTTCCATCACAAACCGCTGTTGTTTCCATCACAAACCGCTGTTGTTTCCATCACAAACCGCTGTTGTTTCCATCACAAACCGCTGTTGTTTCCATCACAAACCGCTGTTGTTTCCATCACAAACCGCTGTTGTTTCCATCACAAACCGCTGTTGTTTCCATCACAAACCGCTGTTGTTTCCATCACAAACCGCTGTTGTTTCCATCACAAACCGCTGTTGTTTCCATCACAAACCGCTGTTGTTTCCATCACAAACCGCTGTTGTTTCCATCACAAACCGCTGTTGTTTCCATCACAAACCGCTGTTGTTTCCATCACAAACCGCTGTTGTTTCCATGACACCACGACGCCACTCCAAGTCCTCGTGGTCTGACTGACCTCCATGCATGCCATCCTCACCACATCCATCTCTCCCTCCATCCCGCTGTCCCCTGCCCCATCGTTCGCAGCATTCTGACCGGCCTTCTCTCCTTCATGGTACGTGCTGATGAGGCGCTGTGCTCTTGCAGTACTGTGCGTGTTTTTCCAGCAGAGCCGCACTCGCATGTTCACGCTCGCTGGCAGTGCGTCCTCGCTCTCGCGTTTCAAGCAGGCTGTGCTTAGAAGACTACTAAGAGATGCGTGATTTGCCATGCGCACTCACATCACAGATTAGCGTTGCCTGTTGTGCTGTGATGAGATGTGCATTCAATGTCCACTCACTCACTGGCGTCCATGCCCGTCATGTTCCCTGCCCACCTCTACCCCTGTTCCATCTCCTCCCCTCTGCCTTCTCCTGTGCACAACCCCCCTGCCCCCCCTCTGTTCCCCCCCTCCCCCCTGTGGCCAGTCGGACGATGCAGTGACGGCGGGCAGCATAGTGGCGTCAGAAGCAGACAGGCGCAAGCTAGCGCGCCTCTCCATGCCCAACAACTGCCGCAGGTACCGCCCTCGCTGCCTTCTCTGCACATCCAATTAGCCTGCCCTCGTTCCCCTCGCCCTTGTTCCTCTCGCCCTCAGTCCATGTGGATTTCTCTCAGCAATCCGTCATCTGTTGGTCAACACTGCATTCCTCCCTCTTCACTTCCCGTTATGTCTGTTGCTCCAATCCCCCCCCCCTTTTCTTCCCCCCTTCCCCAGCCCCGTGTTCCGCAAGCTCTTCCCGGACCTGGTTGACAGCTACACGGCATCGCTGGCATCGGCAGCAGAGGCAGCAGAGGGGGCAGATTCCGCCAGCAGAGCACAAGGGGATGGCGCAGAGGGGAGGGGGAAGGGTGCAGGGAAGGGCAGGCGGGTGGTGGAAGCTGCTGCTGCAGTGGTGGGGAGTCGGGAAGGGAAGGGCAGTGAAGGGGGGAGGGAGCTGAGGGTAGGAGGTCAGGGAGGGGCAGAGAGAAAAGAGGGGGGCGTGCGGAGGGTGGTTAGAACAGGAGGGAAGACGGGTGTTGCTGGTGCGTTTGGTGCAGGGAAGACAGCAGAGGCAGGTGCAGCAGGGTCAGGCAGTGCGAGTGGGAAGCAGCAGCCGGGCCTGTCAAGCTTGTCGTTTTGGGTCACTGCTGCCGTTGTGCTGCTGTGTGGGTGTGTCATGGCGGTGCCGTTCCTTGATTCCTTGTCCTCCTCTCTGCTTCGGTTATCTTGACAGCGGACATGTTGCATGTCATTTACGATTTTTTGTTTTCATGTTGTCTGTACTTGCATATCTTCTGACATCAGTTCAAACTGTTTGTACTTTCTGTAATTAATCAAATTTATGAATGTATGTATTTATCGTAGCGGGACAGCTTAATCGCAGGTTTCGTTTCCCCAATCGTGGCGCAACCTCCCAGTGCATCTCCAACCCCGCCTCTCACTCTCGTTGTAGGGCTTTGGAGGCTGCCGTGCCGTGCCCTACGCGTGAACAGCAGCTGAAGCCCGCTGCTGCATTTTCAACCGACGCCTGCTTCACCTTCCCTTCATTCCTCGCGCACACGCTCGCTGCCGCTGCCACCTTGCAGTCCTTGAAACCTCCATCCCCAATCTTCCATATTTCCAGAAGTACATGATTTCCGAGTTACCAGTCATGCCAGTTAGACACGTACCGAGGGTAGCACTGCTGCCTTCTTCGGCTCATCATTCGCGTTCGTCGCTTCTCTTTATCCGCAAGTCTCCTTCGCCTCAGCGCTCGCTAGTTGAAGGCACCTGCATCCGCTGCTTTCCTGCAGATTCAAGTCGCGAAAACAAATCGCGCGTGTCCCTTACTGCTGTCTCGTTGATCTGCCGTCCTCCCCGCGCCACGCCATGAAGAGCCCCAGCGCGCAGCTCTCGCACGCACTCACGCGCATCCACGCCGCCATGCACCGCCCGTCGTCCCCCGCGCAAGCGCCACTATCATCCCCGCCGTGCGCGGGGAGCCCTCCTGACGACGCCACGCGACGGTCTGCGAGTCGCCGGGCGTCGCAGGAGCGCACGGCTGAGTTGCTGCAGCAGTCGTTCCGACCTAAGGCGCTGCCATTAGCGCCACCCGCTCACGGCCGCGCGCCCATTCCGGGGATGCCTGATAGCGGTAGCGGGAGCGAACGGCGGAGGGGCGCGACGAGAAGCTGCAGCGGGCCGCGGGAGGGACGGTTTGGGGGAGGGCCGCCGGGGGGGACGGAAATTCCCGCGGCGCCGGGACGCGTGACGCTGAGGAAGCAACTGTCGAGCGACATCGCGCCGCTGCTGCTGCGACTGAAGCGGCAGGCCACGCCCACGCGAATCCGGAGCCAGTCGCCCGTGCTTTCGCCCGTGCAGTCGCCGCGGGACGTGTGGGAGGCTGCAGAGGCGGGGAAGCTGTTTAATTGGATGAGCAAGGATACGGAGTGTAATGCCACGCCAGCGAGAGCTGTTGTTGAAGAATCGGAGATTGTTTCTCTTCCCACAGCAAGGCCTGCTATTACAGTTGTGAGGAGGACGATTCAAGCCCAGTTGCAAGGGCAGCCATGGTCCCCAAACAGCACCTTGGAACCTCCGAATGATGACCTGCCACTGTGGCGGGATGAGCAATCCCAAGCCCTCTGTTGTCACCAGGATTCACCCCAAGATTTTTTTGGGGTACCGATGGAAACAAGTAAATGTTATGCGAGAGACATGCAGCATGTATTGTGTGAGAGGAATCACACGCAGACGCTCCATCAACGACGCTCGTGCAGCCCATGCACATCCCAGAGAGGTGCTTCCTGTGAGGCAGCTCGCCAAATTCTGGTCAAGAATCCGTCAATTCAATCTAAAGGGAGGGGACGGCTTGCAGCAGCCATCACTGCAAGGCAGCAGCAAGTGGTGCAGGACCAGCGGCCAAGATGGAGCTTATAACCGGTAGGGGAACCTTTGTAGAAATAAGAGGCAGGTACTTAGGAAAACATATTGCCATTTACCAAATACATATTGTATTGTTCTGTACATAGGAATGAATATTAGAGTGGACTTGTTACTTGCTATTCTGCAATAATTGCTATATCGTGTAATTCCGCACCTGACAAACGTGTTCTATCGGAATCTTCTAGGCTGAAACTTGTACAGTGATAGTTCGGCTTGGCAGAAGGCACGGGTTTTGTCTGTGGTCTGTTCCGAACAATTGTCGAGCAGCAGCCTGCTTTTCCTTGGGACTGTCGAGGTTCGGCTGACCTACAGAGGGAGCATCAGGCGAGGCGAGTCGAGGCGAGACCAGGCGAGGCGAGGTGAGGTGATGATGGAAGGACCAATACAGCAAGGGCTGGCAAGGCAAGGCAGGGCAGCGCAATACTAGTCCGTGTCTTGTACTTGGAACTTGAGTTTTGCTTTTCGAAATCTGCGTTTTATTGTCCCAGTCTCTTTATCTTTCTAGTGTCCCATACCTGCTCATCTACGCATCGCCCAACGCCTTTCACTGTCATTTGCACTTGGTCTTCGCCTGACGTTACGAACGAGCCGATTGCTCCGGTCTTTTGCGCTACGAGCTGCGAGTTCTGGTGGAAGCGCCATGGCGGATGAGGTGTCGCTCGCTGAGCAGGTTCGCTCGGACCTTTCGAGTCTAATGCTTCTAGTTTTTGGCACAGTCGGGTCCCGATGCGTCACCTTAGCCGGACAAACCGGTTGTCACTTTTTCATGGTCTCTCTTCGACTGCCTCGTTAACAGTTACACCGCGCATGTGTTTCCGCGTTCCTGTTCCTTCCTCATGCATGCGTCCTGCATTAACTACTTTCCAAATCAATCGTGACGGTTTGTGGTCCAGCATGCACTCCGTCCCCCACACTTGATCACTTGACATAAGACCCTTGCGGATGTGCTCACACGTGCCGTGCGCCACCATCCATGCTCCATGATTTAGCTCGAGCATACATGGTCCATGATCCATGATTGCCGAATTGCCACCTTCGTTTATCAATGATCCGTGCAGGAGGCTCGGTTGAAGAAGAAGTATGGCGGGGCTCTGCCTAAGAAAAAAGGGCTGCTTTCCAAGGTGTTACGCCGACCTTCTGCCTTCTGTTCCCTCTCCTTATGATGCACGTTTTTTAACTTCGTTTGCTGGTCTGCTTGCGTCGATAAAGCTTATGATTAAACAGTCTGCTCCGGTTCCTTCTTTATTTGAAACACCTAATCTTGGTGTTCGATGTACTCCTATTCGTCGGGTCAGTTCTCTTTGTTTTAGGAGCTCATGAATACTCACCCGCTTGCCACGCGTCTTCCGCCTCGTGTACTCGCAGGGCCACGAGAGGGCCTTTTTCGACTCCGCCGAGTGGGCCATCCAAAAGGTACGATCGCGTCGTAACGTATTGCGTCGCATTTTATTGCATTCTGCCGCATTGCATCGCGTCTGCTTGCTGGTCATCCCCACCTCAAATGTCTTCGCATCTGTTTCCTCTCCGTGCCTTTGGTGTGCTTCCACTAGCAGCAAAAGGGCGCCAAGCCGGCAGCACCGGCAGAGGAGGGTCTGCAGCCGAAGCTAGAGGTACGGAAGCGTGCTAGGTTCCACGCGTTAGGGTTTTGTCAATGAAAAACGAGGGGAAAAGAGAACCACTCACACACGCACAGAAAACAACGACAACAACAGCTTTTTCCAATGTATGGTAAAGTCATCCACATCCATTGATGTAAGGCGTACCCCAGGTGCATGCAAATGTTGTTTGTGCAAGTATATACTTCCCTTGCTGCCTCGCTAGTTCACCATGAGAGTGACATGCATTGTCTGATATGCCTGCAACGTGGATTGACTTGCGTTTCGCGTGCATCCAGCCTACCCCACATCAACCTGCCACGGGTCGTCGCTCCGGACTGGCTGAAAATTGACTCATGACTTGGGGCTTGTTCTCGCACTCTGCACATACACATGGTCAGTGATTTCGTGTGAATGGTGATCGTTTTGGTGTTGTAGCATCTCACATTTGCTTCACGTTCTTGGCACTTCATTGCTGAATTCTCAAGGCTAGAGTGCATAACTGACTCTAGCGCAGTCCTGTCTCTCTTTGTTGTTGCTGCAGGCAGCAGGGAGCTGACCAGCTACTGCGCCTACCCATGAACATGACCTCTTCTGCACTACCCATGACCTGTCCTTTCTATGGCCTGACTTGCCCACCAAAGTATTTTTGGCTCCATACTGCCTCTCAAAGCGCCTCCCGTCTTGTGAACACACATTGACAGGCCCCGCGCCAAGATGACACGTGTCAAGACATGTTTTCTTTTTGTCACCACTCTTGTACAATGATCCCTGTACCGGCACCACTTCGTGAAAGCATTGGCTTACATACAGAGCCTGGTATGCATCTTGCAGAGAGCAGGTCCATCAACTAGTCCAAGTAGAGATGTGGAAGACTGGAATGTGGCCTTCCGTTGGTTTCCGCATGCGGTACCACAACCGAGGCTTCCAGTAAGAAATTGACAGCTAAATCACCTTGACCGTATAGTTGCTAAGCAAACAAGAGAGCCACATTGCAGCAAACTTAGTGCTGAACAATCAGAGGAGCGGGGAGGCAGCTCGCCAGCTAAGAGCTTGAATTCAACACGATAGACACGGTTGTTTGTCAGAGCGCCTTCACAACTTGCCAAGCTGTCATTTCCTACTTCTGTCTGGGCCTCCAATGAGCTACATGCGCTGTTCACTGCTGTGCAGCTCTTCCTAGGCTCCCCCAGCCCCATCACCCACTTACTCTCTCTGCTGCCGCAGCGGGTAAACCCAGATCTCACAATCAGCGCCCCCAAATGTGGAGTACATGCCGTCCCGCGGGCGTCGGGCGTCGGGCGTCGGGCGCGGGAGCGAAAGCACGAGAGCATCTCGTCAAGCGCAGCAGATACCATGACTTCTTGAGATCTTCTACTCGTGCGCCAGCGCCATGTACGTCCATCAGTGCGTCCGTGCGGCTGCGCGCTATTGGTCGCTACCCTCGTCGCTGTCCTCCGTTGCGTCTTGCCCCGCCTGTTCCGCGCTCGCCGCTTCTTTCGCCCGCGCGCGCTGAATCGCCTTCCGCTTCCGCGCAGGAAGCGCAGCCAGGGCCTCCTCTTCCGCCCTCCGCTGCGCCTCCTTGGCGGCCTGCGCGCGTTCCCACTGGCGCTGGATCTCGTTGGAGTGGCGGCGCGAGAGGATATAGGCGAGCATGACGAGGCAGCTGGCCTGCACGGGACTGATCAGCCGCAGCAGCGCCAGCACGCCC